ATATATATATATATATATATATATATATATATATATATATATATATATATATATATATATATATATATATATATATATATATATATATATATATATATGCAAAATGAGTGTATAGGTAACATTTTGTAATAATTATGAGTAGTTGATATGATGAACTTAAACCAGTTAGCTCGATTATATAAACTTTTATCTAAATTATATTTAATAGTGTAAGAAATCTTTATATCGTCGATTTAGGGGACATACCAATGACCAAATGTCATAAATTAAGACATTATTATGTTCTTCAACCATAAGAAAAAACAAATTAGTGGACTAAAATTTGAGAAAGAAAATTATTGATTGGTTCTCTATTTGATTTTGGACTAACTATCTATATCTCTCCACAAACAACTTACTTTATGAGAAGATTTTGCCTAACATATGGTGTTTGTATTCACAAGGACAAGGGTCCCTTGTTGTCTCTATGAAATTAATTAACCAATCTAACATAAAATCATCACTATTTTCTTGAGCCTACATCGACATCTCAACATGTGTCAAAACTTACCTAATTTAATAGATACATGTCATTTTCCGTCAAATTTAAATTCTATGCACTAAAGGTATAAATTTTGTCCCCAACACATGACAATTGCAGATAATTCAATTCGATGAACATTACTTAATAATGACATTTATAGTATAGACGTTGCATAAATAACTTGTTATAACAAGTTAAATTACAAGTATTGGATATAATTTAAATTATTTTCCGAAATGGAGATTTCTTAACCGTAGAACATGGATTACGTTGAAAAAGAGTCTAGATTAGTGACAAAATTATGGAGGGAACTCATTATGTTTATATTTATTGATTTTGGACTAATTATATTCTAATTCCGACCATTAATAACTTGATTTAACATAAAGTGTGACGATATGTTGTTTGTATATATTCTAAAGTACAAAATATTGTTTCTATGAAAATAATCACATTTAAATGTTTCACTATTTTCACAGCGTACATCTATGACTCTCAACATGTGTCAAAAAAACACATAATTTTATTGACATTTTTCCTAATTTTGACTATGTAATGTAAATGCAAGTAATTAAGTACATGTCTAAAAATTAAAAAGACTAGTGAAAATAATCATATACCACGCATGCATTCATATGTATTATCATTTCTCAATAATATATAAATATAAGTATAAAATAGGAATAACAACTAAAGCATATATTTTCTACCTAATCAAACGATAGATGAACTAAATTAAGGTAA